GCTGTTTCCGAGGCAATCTCCTTCGATTCCGGTGAACACGTGCTGAGCTTTCGTCCGTCATATGACAGACGAAAGCTTGACTCGCAAGCCTGAATTTTGTTGTGATGATGATACCTTGTTCTGATGATGTTCGTCATATGACGGACGAAAGCTTAGCACCTTTTCACCGGAATCGAAGGAGATTACCTCAATGATGTTCGTCATATGACGGACGAAAGCTTAGCACCTTTTCACCGGAATCGAAGAAGATTACCTCGGAAATGCATGAATCTTCCAGTAAAGCCAATCGACAGCTGGTCAAGAGGAATCCGCCGTCGTCTTCTGGTGGAATCGAACTTCGAATCTCTTCACCCACATGAATCTTCCAGTAAAGCCAATCGACAGCTGGTCAAGAGGAATCCGCCGTCGTCTTCTGGTGGAACCGCCTTGCTCTGATGATTTTCGCCATATGATGGACGAAAGCTTAGCACCTTTTCACCTGAATCGAAGGAGATTATCTCGGAAATAGCGTCACCGGATGACGGACGAAAGCTTAGCACGTTTTCACCAGAATCGAAGGAGATTGCCTCAGAAACAGCGTCAGCACAAATCTTCCAGTAAAGCCAATCGACAGCTGGTCAAGAGGAATCCGCCGTCGTCTTCTGGTGGAACCGACCTCCGACGCACGAAACTAAGCAAGTTTGCACCGGAATCGAAGAAGATTACCTCGGAAACAGCGTCAGCATGAATCTGCCCGATGTCCGTCATATGACGGACGAAAGCTTAGCACCTTTTCACCGGAATCGAGGGAGATTGCCTCGAAAACCGCGTCAGCATGAATCTTCCAGTAAAGCCAGCACGGGTTCACCGGAATCGAAGGAGATTGCCTCGGAAACAGCGTCAGCATGAATCTTCCAGTAAAGTCGACAGCTGGTCAAGAGGAATTCGCCGTCGTCTTCTGGTGGAACCGACCTTCGAATCTCTTCACCCAACAATTCTACTCGAAATGGAAGTAATCCCAACAATGCCACCTTGCTCTGAGGATGTTCGTCGTATGACGGACGAAAGGTTAGCACGTTTCCACCGGAATTGAAGCAGATTACCTCAGAGACAGCGCCAACATGAATATTCCAGTAAAACCAATCGTCAGCTGATCAAGAGAAAACCGCCGTCGTCTTCTGATGGAATCGACCTTCGAATCTCTTCATCAAACACTTTCCCTAGAAATGAAGGTAAGCTCAACAACTAATATATATTAATGAGATGTATTCACCCTATTACGTGTAAGGTGATGAAGGACTGGTAGTAGAATTTTCCCACAATCATATGAGTTGAGCTGACGTTTCCATT